ATATGTAATTGTGAAAATTTAAATTGTTATCAATGTTCATTCCCAAAATGTCAATTGAGTCCTTTGTAGGAAACGAGAAGGTGTGTTCCGATTTTCCCACGATCAAAGCCTGATGTTTGCTTTCATTGGCCAACATTCCATTTTGCCGGTACCACCGGTTTGCTGTCTCGACTGCGTTACGCATGCACCCATCTAGCGCAACAGGATCACTGTCCGACGAATATATTTGGTGATCGTCTGCATAAGCATTTAACTTAACATCCCCGCAAAACAAGAAAATGTCATTTATGAAAATATTGAAAAACACGGGACCGAGGACGCTTGTTTTATTCAATTATCCACTTATTAGCTGGATAATGTAGAACTTTAAGTTTGATCTGAACGAAGCAATTGTATGGACAGGATGCAAAACGCACGACATGAAGTTTACCGTATGCTACACAGATATAGAGAGTATTAGATTGAAATCACTCTCCGCCTCACTCCGATTGGGCTGTGCTGGTTTGAAACTGAGGTCACACCGGTGCTTTAGAATTGACAAGTCTTGCTGGATAATGACCTTCACCGAACTGCTAATCCTAATTCTATGGCGAAATTGTGTGTCGTCATCCTGAACGAAATTATCGGCTTTCGGATCTTTCTTAGTAAAATTTTTTGATGCCATACTTACGTAGTTGAGTTAATTGTGAAATTATGCACTGACAGATGAGAGAACGCTCTAGATTTCGTAACAAACATGACAAATTGTATGAGATAATTAATAACTGGGGTTAGTAGTTAGGGTTATGCACTGCATGGAATCTATTTTAAAATACACTATACTGAGACGGACGGGATACCCGATAGGCACTGGAGATGACTATCTCCTCATGACGAACAGGATGCTGATAATTGGTTAGCTCCTTTAAAAGCAACAAAAAGCTGAAGACAATTCCAAGCTGTCCCCTTTTTAATACGCGAACATCCTGCTGGGTGATTTCGAAGGGCACAGAACAAGATGTTAATAAACTTAGCCTATCATGTGCCATGTAAACAAATTCACGCATGCGCCTCCATTTATTATACGCGTGGTTATATATAGAGATAAATATATATCTCTTTCTACGTTTGATCTAATGAATTCCTCTTTTATGCACATTTGCTATAATTCAATTTTTTTTCCTTCGTGTTGTACATTGTACATTGTTCAAGCTTTATTAATATCTTACCTTGTGGAATTAAAGTGACATTGGGTTTGCCAGGACATTCTGAAAAGCAATAATGATAATAATATTACGATTGTTTATTGACATAATGTTATTCTAATTTGTCTGCGTAAAGATCATGTGTTTAAATTACATCACAAATAGCTGATCGCCAGAGAAAAAAAAATAATTAAGTTTAAATTGCTAGCTTATATTAATCGATTTTATATTCAAAAAGCATCGAGGTTGCGATTTGATGGGTATTTTTTTTAAAAAAATCTTTATTATAATTAGAAATAAATATTTTTCCAGAAAGAAATGCTTCACATCTTTTATAATTACTTGAAAATCTCATTTTAGGCATGAACGAATCTTTAGAAAATTCTGAACGGTATACTCTAGATCTCTTTTAAATCTGTACACTGTCTTACTTTGTACAATGGCGTAAGTATACGTCGTACTGTTGACCACAAAATACTGACACTTTGAGTCGTTCTTCGGAGGACCTGCATGATATGAAAATAAATTGTCATCAATTTACTGTTTTTTGGTATAGGCACAGCATAGATGCAACAGTAAGATTGTTCGAGTCAATAACAAATTCTTATTTGTTATTTTTTTTTGCGCTGCTCTATTTGTCAAGTAACTGATGAACAATCACGTTGGTGTCGAATTGCAACTGTCCAGTTACAATTGTTTCTAATTAAATCGCCGTCATCTCTCACTTACGCTACTTATAAAACAATAGTCTCTATCTGACTGGTCGAGTGTCGGTCCAAATAGTTAAAAAAAAGTGAAAAATAAGAGAGCAAAAACTTGAACGTTTAATGCGCTAAGATAAAAATCGTCGTCGAAAAAACGCATGTGTTTTTTTTTTTTATTTCACTGCCAAACTAGTTAAGAAAGTTAACTAAAGTAACATAACAAGACTCTTCGGCGGGTGTAAAAAGTTTTCGAAAAATATTACATACCGAGTGGGCGTAAAGTGGATGGGGCGGCAGTAGTGGTGAGACTCGCGGGTGACCCAGTATTTGGTGAAGTGGCAGACGGTAGCGGGGTGGGGCTGCTTTCTGTGGACGAAGAAGTTATTATTAACTGTATATACAATAACTGCAAACGATTTTTATCCAATTACTGGAGAGTCAAATCGAGTAATAGCAAAAGTCTTGCCTTAGAATTACACTGTAGCATAATTGATTTGCATTTTGTATTTATTCACAAATACAAGACAAGATTTTGCGTCCAGAAAATAGTGTCTTCTAAATCAATCAATCAATCAATCAATCAATCAATCAATCAATCAATCAATCGATCGATCGATCGATCGATCGATCGATCGATCAATCAATCGAGCAATCGATCGATCGATCGATCAGTCAATCAATCAATCATTTATTTTAACACGTTTCGTCGAGGAGCTAAGAACTCGTTCATCATACGAAAGTGTATAAATGAAGCCATCATATATGAAGCCATTATATACCTAGCTATTTTTTTTCATCAAGTGGGTGGGAGAAGTATTCGTAGCAGCATGCAGGCTCGTTGTTTAATTAGCATGCTGTTACCTGCTGCAGTCGTAGATGGTCCTGCTAATGGAGGGCTAGAACTACCTAACAAGATACAATCCTGGCGTCGGTAAAGTGCAATGAGGGCTTTAAAATTGGCATGTGTATACGATAACTGCGAACGATTTTTTTTCCAGATTCGAGAAAGTTAAATCGAATGTGCCCAAAATGTTTCAGTCGGTAGTATTGTAATAGTATTACATTGTATTAAATTAATTTACATTTTGTTTTCCCTCATGTCAGAGCAATGTTTGACTCACAAATAGAAGATTTTGTCCAGAAAACAGTGCCCCCCTAAATGTAGCCATTATATAATTAGCTGCTGTTTTTTTTCGAAATGGCTTGGGCGGGGGAGTTGGCGAGTAGCAGCATGCTGACTCGTTTATTTAGCATGCCTTTGCCTGCTTCGGCCGCAGATGGTCCTGTTGCTGTCGGACGAGAACTAACGTCGGCACGCTCCGCGTGGGCTTTGTAATTACAAAATAACTGAGAACTTGTTGTAATCATCTCCAATCCATCAAAGGCTAGGCTGCGAACGGGAGCCTGTTCGCAAGCTAATCAAAGGGTAATGGGTTAATTGTCTCTTTAAATTCTTCACTAACTGACCTTGGTATCATTTCATCGGTTTTCTTAAATTGTAAATCGACTGGATGATGTGGAAGTTTAAATTTGATCTAATTGAAGCAATGGTACAGAAAGACTGCAAAAGTTCATTGTCAGCATTGTTTGATTCACAAAGACAAGATTTTGTCCAGGAAATAATGCCCCTCAGATGGAGCCATTATATCCCTAGCTGTTTTTTTCCTGGGATGGGGGGAGGGGGGGGGGGGGGGGNAAATAGAGCCCCCAAATGTAGCCATGATATACCTGGCTGTTTTATTCTTTAGGGGCAGGGCAAGTTGCAGCATGCAGGCTCGTTGTTTATTTAGCATGCTGTTACCTGCTGCGGTCGTAGATGGTCCTGTTGTTATAGGGCGAGAACTACCTAACAAGATACAAGCCTTGCGTCTGTAGAGTACACCATGGGCTTTATAATTACTGTACATAATAACTAAGAGCTGCTTGTAATCATATCGAATCCATCAAGGACTAATAGGTTAATTGTTTCAATAAATTCTTCACTGACTAGTTTTGGTATCATTTTGCCGGTTTTCTAAACTGATAAATCGACTGGATTATGTGGAAGTTAGTTTGATGTAATCGAAGCAATAGCATGCATGGAAAGAGTCCAAATCTAATGGCACAAAGTTCATTGTCGGCCTTGTTTGATTCACGTAGACGAGATTTTGTGTCCACAAAATAGAGCCCCCAAATGTAGCCATGATATACCTGGCTGTTTTATTCTTTAGGGGCAGGGCAAGTTGCAGCATGCAGGCTCGTTGTTTATTTAGCATGCTGTTACCTGCTGCAGTCGTAGATGGTCCTGTTGTTGTAGGGGGAGAACTACCTAATATGACACAAGGCGCGAAGTTCACTGTCAGTAGTGTTTGATACACAAAGACAAAATTTGTGTCCAGAACATAGTGGCTCTGAAATGTAACCACGATGTAACAGCGCTAGCGTTTATAATTGCTCAATTTAAGTGTGCGGTAAATTTTGTGTTTTGATCAGGCTTTGTGCATGCTATGATACAGCTACGCCTGTAACGGATGACGTATCATTTGCTTTCCAAACGCTGCTAATAGACATATGACAATATGTACATGCATTAGAATCTAAAAGAACCGTGAAGTACACACGTAATATCTACAGCAAGCCTCTCAAACGCCATTAAGGGTTACTTAATTATAATTTATTGGGTGAGGTCACCTCCTTACGGGAAGAATACCCGGAAAGGGAAAGGGGAAAGGGAAATAGAAAAAGCGCGTATTCAATCTGTTACTAAGGTTGTCTTTCTTACCTGGCGCTGTAGCAGGTTCAGTCGTGTTGGCTAGTGGAGGTAATCCCGTGACGGTGGCATTGACGCCAATGCTGAAGTTGGTAGCTGTAGGGGAACCTGGGACGGTGGGAGTTGTAAGAGGGGGTGTCGAGGGTTGAGAAGTAGTGCCAACAGAGGGTGTTGGGTCAGAAATAGTCCCTGATAACAAAGATATATTTCATGTGGTGTTAAAATATTCGACCAAAACAAAAAACAAAACAAAACAAAACAAAAGAAAAGAAGAGAAAAGCAAAAAAACAAAAACAAAAACAAACAAACAAAAAAAACCACGCGTATTGTCGATTCTGAAATAGAAATAAATTTTAGCATTTTGTGTTTATTATACTCCCTCCTCTGCAACAAAGCAACTGAAATGGTGCAGTACTACAAGTAAGTGAACAGACAACACTCATGCATGTGAATATTTGAACTGCGGAGAAAGATATGAAGACATGATTGATCATCGCAGTCATACATAACTTAGGCAGTTGTGAAATTAAAGTCGAAAAAAAAAAAAAAAACCAGACCTGAACGGGATTCGAACCCATGACCTCTGCGATACCTGTGCAGTGCTTTTGAATACCGGTAAATTTTTTTTTCCAGGCTTTAATTTCAAAACTGCGTAAGTTGTTATAATTGCGATGATCAATCATCATGATGTCTTCATAGACAACACTTAGCATAATCTTGAAGGTTTCTTAGGGAACCTCCGCTAATTGAAACATTTCATCTGTGGAGACCGACAAAATATTTAAATTTGTCAACCTTGAAGTATTAAACCAAGTTAAAGGAACATTCAGTCCACTTACGTTTCTATAATATAAAGCTATCATGGGCATTTTCATATACCAAGAGACTATGATCATAGTCCTATATACCTACATACACCTACCCCTTACACCCCCGTCCTTTTAACTTGGTAATATTATCAATGAACAAGTTAATTAAAGTAAAAAACTGCAAAAATTTTAACCTTCGAAATTAATGGAGAGCTTTTATCTGTCAGTTAATTTATTAACAAATGTATACCTGGAGGGAAAACATTGTCTTTGAAGATCGCTGGACCGCCTCTGTTTCCACGAGGACTGTATCGTGCCACTGCAATGAAGCCATACTTGTTGCTTTTAGCAGTTCCAATTCCGAACTGCCGAGAGTTTTTCCAGACTTCCTAGATTTGATGAAAACCGCAGACATAACTCAATATCTCTTTTTCAGTTGGTCCCAGATGTTGGGAACACGATCAAGCTAGTCTAAAAAAGTCTAAGGCCCCATTTATATGGTCTCGGTTACCGGAGACAACCCTCCCCCAAGTTACTCTAGCCGAGTTAACTTTTCACTTATTTCTTTACAAACTTCAGCCAACCGTTTAGAAGAGGATCGCGAACCCGTCTTGGGGGGCGAGACAATTCGGGTGGGCGAGTGTCACGAAATGTCTAGATCTAGGATTTAAAGCAGGAATTCGTATCAAAGAAGTGAAGTTTATCTCCGCAAAACCCACTTTGATCCAATGACGGAGGAAAACTCAAAGAAAGAGGGATAATTGCACATTTGATTATTCAATAAGGGTTATGAATAATCATGCAGGGTTAACTTTGATTCGGCCTACAGGGACTACGTTTTCAGATATAAACGCTCGACAAAGCTGCCTCAGGCCTAGGGAGAGGGTTGTCTCGGGTACGCGAGACCATATAACTGGGGCCTAAGGTTGACGTAAATTGTGATATTGTGTCTATATCTTTTGTCCGTTAGCTTTGAGTTTGACTGATGTCAAATGATCAGGAGAGAAACTTGTATACATGATAAAATAACATGCCGATAATTTTTTTTGATTTTAGCGTCATTGGAACAAACAGGCGGGAAAGGGACAGTTATTAGGAAAGTAACATAAGCTTTTATCGCTTGTGGTCGAGTTTGAGAAGTGAATGTCATTTTAAATGTATTGTTCGAGTAAGTTCCCATCTAAACAACTGGTACTTGCCTGTGTGAAATGCATGACCACTCCCCCGGGTGTTTTGGGTTTTCCCATTCCAAAGTCATAATTCTTGACCTCATCGTACCAACCCTCGATAATCTCTCGACACTGTACACAATCATCCCTCTTAGGACCCTGACATTTCTCCTTGAAAGGCTTGAAGAAGGCAAGGTTTTCTCCTTGGCTTTTTACTTGCATGCTGTTATAGTCGTGTTCAAACGTGTTGCTCTGGGCTAAAGTGTGAGCCCAAGCTCGAGCATCCGCCGCGAGGGTTTCCGACCAAGTGAGGTCTGGAACGCCATGTCGCCTTCTCAATAGGTTGGTTGCCATTAAACAATTTTTGTCAAAGCCGTCAAGTGACGAACCTGAGAAAAAAAAAAAAAAAAGCAGACCATTTTATCATTTTTTCGGCTAGACGTATTCGCGGCATTAATGTTTTGCTTCAAGGAAAAATAAATTAACTCAGTGCTGCTAAATAACGATGAGATTCGCAATTCTTTTTTCAATAAAACAATAGAACAATCCATAGTAACAGCTACTGCTCAGATTGTGTTAATGCCAATTGCAGTTTTCTGAAGCGTGGTAACGCTTACAACTGTAATGATGCGAATTATTGCTCTCCCATTTTAATTAGCCTTCAGCACAGCTCAGTAAAACACTTTCTCTTTCAAAGAAAATACAATGAAATGAAATTGATAGAAGGAAGCCTAAGGAAGAAGTTTTGTATACCATACCTAGTGAAAACAGGACTTGAAAGACAAGAAATCCAAGCATGGTGTACGTCTGGTGTTGACCTCGCACTTTACCTGCTAACTGATATTTGATCACTCTCGAAGGGAATGCCCAACCTGAACTACAAGACTGCAAATCAATAAAAAGGAAATACTTTATGTATGCCTTACTAAGTTAAGAACTCGGCTGAAAATGCCATGACGCAATTATTACCAGTTCTTTATGTTGTTTTGGTAGGATTCATGTAAATCAAATTTATTCCCATTTTATTGAATAATTGTCGGAACTGCAATGACAGTATATCGTGGTGTTTCACTTGAAACAAGGAAAAACGACTCGGTAATAAAACCATTTCTAATATCTCTGATCAGTACAAGCTAGTACAATAAGGAAAAATATGAGCAGCAGCTCTTCATACGTCGAGCCATCAATTTAACTAAACAGAACAGGTGTACGGTACTTCACATAGTGATATATTTACTTTTCTTTTAAGAATTGCATTAGTTCATGTTTGAAAGGTGCGAAACCGAAGCGCACAATCCAAAACACGGGTTTAAATAGAATGCAACAGTCTCTTTTATGGCAAACGTTTGCTTTAAAGAGCCAACGTACCAAAATTAAATACGGTTTATAAGTATTCACAGTGAAGACAAAGGGTTACCCTCGTAGTTGAATTTAAGTACAAAACAACATTTATGTTAAGGTAAACGGTTATATATTGAATAATAAACTCCCAGTGTTTGCTTACCGGTACACGTTGTCTCCGAGAAACTAGCGAGACATTTTTCAATATATAACACTTGATGTCAAATTTAAGCTTTCGTTTCAACACATTACTTTTCTTTAGTCGAATATAGTTTGGAGCTTATTTATTATTGAAAATGGAGGCTTGCCTTGTGCCACAAGATGAATACAGCTTCACAGGTGGGCGACTGAGAAGCTTGTTTAACTTGTCTTTTTCAGAATTATTTAGTGATCAGATTTGCATTATCTTTTTCAGGGTAATTTTCCCCACTTTGTCACTTTGTGTGTTATTTAAGGAAACTCGACAAACAAAGAGCTCACTTGTTTAGTATCTCCAGCAGTTTAGTCATTGTAACTTTATGATCGGATTCATATTTCGTAGTGCTACTTCGCTACAGCCCTCTCATATGTCACGCTATAGGCGATTCTGTGGCATTAACCTGGCGTTGAAATCCCAATAAAACTCAGAGTTTTCGACGATTGATGTGCAAACACAACGAAAATCAAAACAGGAGAGCCGGAGGGAGTTGTCGCGGTCAAATTCCCACTATATATACTGATCTGACAAAAATCAAGGTTAGGTCGCTTTGTGAAGAATAAAATTTACTTAGCCAAGAAGTTTCGATCATTAAATAAATATTAGTTTTTGGTTCGAAGTTCATAGATCTTAACTGAAGAAGGCAAATATGGTCTCATTGGTAGTGGTAAAAATACATTTGCACGAAAAATAAGTTGGGACTTACGTCCTCTCTTGCCCCTTGCAGTCATTAGTTTCTCGTTTTGTTCCCCAATGTCCTTTGTTTCCCCTGAAACAATAGAACCCCGTTGTCATTACTATTCCCTCTCCCAGTTTGCGTTCTTCCCTTTAGCTTTGTAATGATTTTCTAATTCCTCTAAACTAGCTTGGACGTGATTGCTATTGCTTATCCCTGAACCATGATGTGGTTTAATAGTTATCATTATTCCTCAGGTTTCCTGGTCTATGCCTACAAGTGATTTTATAATTTCTCCTCCCCTGACCCTCAAAGCTATTGGTTTACCCTGAGCCTCGAAGTGATTCGCGTAGTTCTCTCTGGCCTAGTAGCGATTTTTCAGTTTGCCCTAAGCCTGCTACTGATTTACGTAGCTCTCTTGAGCCTCGTGATGATTTTAAAGTCACCCTGAGCCTCGTAGTGATTCCCACAGCTCTCGTGAGCCTCGTTATGATTTTAAAGTTACCCTGAGCCTCGAAGTGGTTCCCATAGCTCTCTTGCTCTATCCCGGTTTCAGCCTCGTAGTGAAGTTTACGGTTTCGCCTGAGCCTCGTATTGATTTCTATACGGCTCTCTTAAGCCTCGTAATGATTAACAGTTCCTCTGAACCTTCTAGCCATTTCTACGGGTGCGTTCTTTCGATGTGTTCTGGATCAGAGTCGGTTATCGAAAATCACTCGGACCATAGTGAATCAAAGGAACGATAAATCCAGTCTGGTCACGGCTTCATCGGCCGAGTGATCTCGCATCATTGATCCTGACCCGGAAATGAACGCACCCTATAGCTCTCTAGTTATTTTATAGTTTTCTCCCAGCCTCGTCGTTATTTAATAGTTTTTCCTGAGTCTCGTAGTTATTTTTATCACTTCCCCTGTGGTTTAGTGATTGCTATTTTCATGGTTTCCCATCATGCGGCCACCCTCATGGTTTCCGTTGCTTGCCCAGAACCTTATAGCGATTGTTTTCTACCGTCGTTGTGATTTCTATTTCTCCAGGTGGTGAATTCCTTTGTTGTCTTTTCCGTCGAAGTGGTTCCCGTTGTTTTCCCTGAGCATACATGAAGTAATGACTTCTTTTGTTTGCTCTTTTCCTCGTAGTAATTTGCGCCGTTTCCCCCAACCCTCGGCTTTTTGTTAATAAATCCGTATCATGAGCCCTATCGGCCTGTAAAGGAAACAGTTATAAAGATAGCTCATAGAATTAAAGGTATTTTTTTAGTAATGAAGAGAAAGCGTGTTAAAGGTTCTTTTAGGTTCACTCGTATGATTCACAAATATGACGCTTCAATTGGGCATTGTTTAACTTGCTCTTTAATCAATTTCTGTTCAGAGAAAGCTGTTATTAATTTTACAAACAACTGACCTCCTACAAACTATAGCTTGGGGTCACAATAAGTCAGTACCTATTCATTTTCTTTCATAGTATTGTCCACCCACTCGTTTAGTTCCTGCACTTTTGCGTAGACACCATAAGCATTTGGTTGAGCGCATCCAACCCCCCAGCTTACAACCCCGGTCAGATACCAGCGCCCCTCGTACAAACAGCTCAGCGGTCCACCACTGTCTCCTTGACATGCGTCTATTCCTCCTTTGGGAAACCCTGCGCAGATCATACGGTCTGTTATCTTCTCTTTTCCATACGCCGCCTCGCATGTTTCTTTGCTTACAAGCGGTACCTTGGCCATACGCAGCATTCCCGCTAGCTCTCCGCCCTGCTGTGTTCTTCCGAAACCAGTGACATAACATGTCGATCGTTCGTCAAACTTCGTGTAGCTGCCTGGTAAACAGACCGGGCGAATGTACACGTTGAAGTCAAGTGGTGCCTCCAGTTTTAGGAGGGCGATATCATAATCTAAACTTTGGGGGTCGTATTGTGGATGCATTATTATCTTCTTCGTTCTGATCGAGACTTCTTGCTCTTCTTTGTTGGCTTTGTCAAACTCACCCAATACAGCAATCAGCACGGTGTCGCTGTTCACCCTGAGCATGTCGTAAACGCAATGAGACGCCGTAACAACCCATTCTTTGTTTATAAGGGATCCCCCGCAAAAGATGATGTCGCTTGGAGTACGCTTTAGTCCTGTTTGCCAAGGCCAGGCACCAGGATATGCCACCTCGCCTCCAACAATGCGGCTTGGTTTTCTCACCCCACAAGTCTGGGAAGACCCTGTTCGTTCAGGGACTGTCGGTGGAGCTTCAGTCGGAGATGATGAAGGAGGAGGGGGAGAAGGCAGGCCTAGAGGCAATTCAAACATATACAAGTATGACTGAGGTCAAATTAGAATAATAATAATAATAATAATAATAATAGTAATAATAATAATAATTATTATAAAATAATAGTAATAATAATGACAAATAATTTTTAATGAGGAAGCCTACGTCACAAAGTGGTTTACAGATTAAGATTAAAGAAAAGCAAATCTAGGAAGAATGACCTGGATTTTAAAAGAAACTAATATATAACTATATAACTATACGAAACCAGGAATGTAAAAGTATTAATAGATGAGAACAAAAGGAGACAATATCTTGACTGGGTTGAATTCATTGCAAAAGCAAACTACAACGTAACTCTGTTTAGAAATAGTCTTAAGAAACACGATCTTAGCCACTTGCGCAATGAAAGACACTACTTTGCTTTCTTTACCGACAACATACAAATAGAAAGCAGAGCTAAATGGCAGGTGTACTTATAATAATACGATGAATTAGCTATTCCAGACCCGAATGGATGAGATGATTCTCTAAGGAAACGAAGTACAGCGATCAATGGTGGGTTCCTATTTGCTATTATATATTGTGGTATATTTTTGTGGCCAATCAGAGACAAGGATTCTACTGGATCGGGGAATTGATTGGCGGTAAAGAGTAGCTCTCTAGCTCTCTCGTTCGCTCTTGCTAACTTTAATTTGTTCACACTGCTTAAATTCCTTTCGCTTGACTTCCTCCTGACTCTCTCCTGACCCCCTTATGTAAGTTATGTACCCTGGGTCTCCGAGGATGGGGTTCCAGTATTCCAGTAAATCGTTCACAGTTTGGTGCAGAAGCTTGAAACGACCACTTATCTATAGAGGGGAACTAACTCACAATAATTCCAGAAGTAGCAAATAGGATTTTCAGGTCAATTGGCCACATGCAGCCCGAATCTATGCCACGTTATGTTACTACAACTTTTGACGGTAAAGAGGGGCACTCGACTTTCCAGGAACACAGGGCAACAAAGGCCAAGCTTGATTTATCGAGCCTGTGCGAGGGAAAATTCAGTGCGATCTGGCCATGGAATCCATTTTGCCCTGAACGCGTTTGATAAACAAAGTATCCGACCTGGCGAAGCTGCAGGTGGTGCAGCTTTTGCTCCCATACCTGTCTCTCCTGATCCGTTTGTTGCCGGACTCACCGCTTGTGGGAGCTCTACGAAAATAAAGTTCCAACGAATTTTCTACTGAAATTACATTGCGGTATCTTACAAAACTAGAAAAGCTGCTAGTGTATTGCTTGTAGAGTTAGCTATCAACCTTTTACAGGGTCAGAATGAGAGTGCGACGTAAAATTAACCCGCCAAAATTTGGATCAACTCTAGCACACAGGAACTTGGCGTCCATATTTATATCCTGATAAGTAAGCTGTTGTTATCTCTGACTAACATGCTCTAATACCTGGATGGCCTATTTTTTTGATGGGTCTGATACAGTCTTTTATTGTCTGCATACTGTTTTACGACGGCATACTTGGTGTTGGTTACATGCAAACACAATATTGCTCTCCTGCGTTTTCTCATAGACCGGATACGACATTTACTCCACTGCAGAGGAACTCACATTCTTTTGCGACTGAACTTTACAATATTGATGTTTGTCTAACTGTTATATCTCCGTCCTCAGTAGGGGAAAGAGTCGCAATCATTTGATGTCTTTTTCACTGGGGAATTTTAGGTCCAAGGAACGTCTTCATAAAATTTAACCGCTCGTGAGCACCGTCGTGATCAAACATTACCCAAACATCGAAACAGAATGCGTTCTAAATATCATATCACATCAAAGGAGAAAAGAAAAGAATATTCATTTACTTTGCACAACTTTAGTGATCTTTATTATTGTTGTTTCTCCTGCGTTCGGTTTTTGACCTGTACGAAAAAGAAAGAAAATGATAAAGAAATACGGTGTGTTACTGTATTAAGCGGACCCCATGTTAAGAGGACACTAGCTTGAGTCCCAAAATTTTCTTCCTAAATTTATTGTAAAATAAACCTGCATTCAGCGGACACCTCTGTTAAGCGAACGCGGACACCCGTATGAAGCCATTTTGTTGCACAAAACCTGCAGTAAGCGGACACTTCAAGGGCTTCTTACTTCTGAAAGCTCAGCTGAGACTCCTTTAACATTGTTCAGCGAAGTCGTTTTAAAGCTAAGTAGATTATTCCACATTCAGATGCATTGAATGACTGGACATTGTGCTATGAGCAGTCTTTGATCTTACACTGTGTTACACCGTGTTACGAAAGGGTTAATAATTAACTATTATTGCACAATATCTTAGAACCTGCTTAGAGCGGACACCCTGTATTAAGCGGACACTAGTGAGGGTCCCAAGGGTGTCTGGTTAATACAGGTTTCACTGTAGATATACATTGAACACTTTTGAAATTACATTTCGGAAGTCTTAATCAGTTTAGACTTATTAAACTGAAACAACATTAGACATTCACGCGTTTTTAGGTTTTAAGATGAGCTCAGTTTTATATTACAGGGTTCTCATGCCCAAGAATTCTTTTCCACAAAGACAGCTTCCTTGCGTCTACGCCCTTTTAATTTGATGTTAAACTAGCTTCCTTAAACAACATAACGTCATCCTTAATATTTACCTTCTGCATCCAGTGACGAGTTTCCATAGCCTGAAAGTATGAGTTGAAATCGAAGTAAATAACATAGCTATTACATGAGAGATAACAAACGATTCTTCAAATGATATAGAAAATTTAATTTACTGCCAAATGTATGACACTTATAAAGTGGCAAAGATTTTTATGAACCAACCAAAAATGATCGTAACGTGCTTGGAAATTTGAAATGAAGGAATAGATCTTGCAAAATGTTGTCAGGTTACAACTTTCGAAGAAACAGGTCGAGAGCGCAATCACAATGTTTTTTTTTTGTGGCTGGGAGATAATGGGATTTGTTATAATGTGGCAGGCTACGCAGGTTTAAGTTTTATTGATAAACAATGCATGGAAAGGAACATTAATTTGTAAATGAAACTCTGCATGGAATTTCATTGGAGAATTTTGAGGAAAGCCCTCAACGCTATCAGTCTAATATAAGCAACGGATTTACCTGTTAAATCCATTGACGTGTTTTTACCTAAAAATAGGTTAACACTTATCATCAGAAGCTAAACAACCCTTCTGTTTTTTTTACTAACATATATACTTCAAATGTTTTAGCCAATCCTGACTAATTTTATTTAATACTCATAATACTGATTGATTTACTTTTCAATTGAAATTGAAGAATGATTGTTTCAAGGATAACTTACTTGGTGGACTCACGTTCTGAAGAAAGGCCGCAGGTCCTCCTGTACTTCCCATGGGACTATATCGTGCTACCACTATCAGGCCATGTTGATCGCTGCGCGCACTACCCACACCTAGTTCTGCTGTGGATTTCCATACAATCTAGAATTAAAAGAAATGGGACAGCTATGTTGGCAACACAACATTTTGCACCTTAGCGCACTATGAATTCGACCTAATCGATACCTAAATTTAAACCAATAGATAATGAATTGGGCCTGCAGCCTGAAATTTTAGCTAACCAAATTCCATGGAACCGGCTCGGAGAATCATGAAATGCAATAAGTTTGCCTTTACTCCAGTTTTAGCCATAGGGATATAATAGGAGGCAGTCGCTGGACATGGTTCGTGACTCAGCGCGTACGTTGGGAACATTTCCTATGGTGACTGACTAACCCGATCCTTGAACGACAGTCACGGCCAAAGACCCCACAGACATGATGATACCGGTGCTGATGCTGCTACCTTTGCAGTAGCCTTTCCCTTCGCATCTCTTTGCATCGGGTTCCGCATTCAGCCACAGGGAAGAAAACAAGACTGGAAACAAAAAGAAAAAAAAATTATGGCTCTTTTACCTGATTGAAGTGACGGATGGGCTGTCCTACAGCAATTGCAGCTGCCTTCTGAAAGTCGTAGTTTTTCTCTTCGCTGTACCACTTCTTCACTATATCTCCGCAAGTTATACATCCTGGCTTTTTAACGGCTCCATAGCACTTATCGACTGCCTTGGCCATCCAAGCAATATTCTCTCCTTGTCCCTTAGTGATGAGGTCCTGGTAATCGTGCTCCGCTCGGTCCCTGTACGCCAAGCTTTCTGCCCATTTTTGTGCGTCCCTGGCCAAGGACTCTGACCAACATAGAGCCGATGCATTGTGCAGGGCTCTTAACTGATTATGGACTCGTACGCATTCTTTGTCGAAGTCATCATAAGCTTTCCCTGTTTAAAAAGAATCATACTTCACTTAAATTACATGTAACTAGATTATCTTTTGTTTGCATTTGAAGTTCAGAGATGGTATTGATAGGTTGATATGATATTGTAACACTAGTTACCGACTTCCTCGAGAATTTTTTGAGTTTATTACAGTGTAGTTAGTTTCACCCCTACCACTGGCTAAACCATCCAAGATATTCTCATAAATTTATAAAATACATGGAAAAAAGTTAGGAAGGGGTAAAAAAGCCAAACGTCCTGACAAAATAAGGAAAAGTCGAGACGATTTCTTTATTAAGTCATTTTACTTTTTGCTTTAAAACTTTTTTAAGTCACTAAACAATCAACACTGCTTGCACTAGTCGGTCAAAATGTCACCATGGTTCTTTTGACTGATAACGTTTTTGGCGCGAGTGCTTTCCCTCACCTTCAGTGACGAGAGTGATTAACAGCACAACGATCTTTAGAATAGCAAAGCTTATAACGTCCATGTCCTGAAACAAAACGCCCAAACCAATAAACATTAATTCAGAGTATATACCCTGAAATCCACACTCCGCCCTTCGCTAGAAACGTGTAGGAAAAGAGAGGAATAAGCTTGGCAAGATACCATCAAAGTAATAATTTTGGATTCAGTTGCCTGTTTAAATTATTTCCCGAATTAAAGCAATAAACATTGTACATTACTGTTAGTAGGTGAGCAACCAAATTGAAATGATTGTTCTAAGTAAAATCGTCGTAATTTCAGAAATCGGGAGTTTTCACTACGAATTCCTCATTCACTCTCTATATGTTTGGGCAAAACCGGGTTACGCGATATTCAATATATATCGGCAAAATGCCTCCCTTTCGGTGAATGAAAAGGTACAAGAAAGAAAAATTTTATCACCTGCATAAGGGATTTGTCCTTTTCTCTTTCCAGTGAAGTAGTGTATATCTGCTACCTAGTTTTGCGAATTTTTGAACTTCTTTACAAACAGGTGGTTGTACACTTTGGGCGGGGCTAGGGACAACTTTTTTACGGATAAGTGTGTTTCCCTTTCCAGTAAAGACATTAATGTTTTTACTTTTTTAAACGAGCCTTTGACCTTGTTGACTAGCAGGTGATAGTGCACTATGGGCGGGATCAGGGGCAGTGTTTGGACGGAATTCCCTAATACTGTTGTCATGTTTCCCATAAAAAATTGAAATTCGTGGAATGGTGAACAAATCGCTGATCTAAATTGGATCCTTAATTTGAATTTTATACAAATTGCAGAAATTTTAGTTCGAAACTGTTACGATTGATCTGTTATGATTGAGTTCAATTCTGAAAAACATGAATTGTAAGGCCATTTGGTTCGTGTACAGCCTTCACCTGCTGCTCTTCCAGTGCTACACAGAATATTCAAACGATATAATCTTTCAGTTAGTGTTTTCACTCAACTGTCTACGGAGGGGTCTTAGAGCAGGGTATTAAAGAACTGATTCGGTTTGGGGCGATACAAAACAAAACTCTTTCTGAAGTTCTTTTACGTAACGTCATATGTTGGCTCTACCAAGTCTGAGAGTATCAAGTCCTTTATTTTTTTTTATTTCGCGAAACAGAATTGGGAACCAGTGAACCAGTGAACCAGTGAATTATCATAATCCCCTATTTTGGCAATAGTTTTATCATAAAACATCCAAAGTGTTCCCTAGGCCTACAAATCAGTTAAAAAACAAATTTTAAGTGCTGCTGGAGTTGCATTAGTGGCTCTCTAATGACTAACCTGCTAGACTAACAGCTAATTACGTTATCGTTTAAAAGCTCGAAGGATTGAAAACAGGGGGCGGGGGGAAAGATATATAGAATAAAACAAAGTCTGTAGAAAATATAATATACTCAGTAAACGGTGAAAATCATTTTGCAATACTGCAGTGGGATTTTAATAAAATCAAATATTGTTTCTAATACACGCAACGTATACTTCATTTCAAAAAGGCACTTGATTATACTTTATTTGAAATTTCTTTTATTGATTTCTTCTCATCATTCTAAAGTTAAATACAGCCCTTTATCATCGTCCATTCAGCTCAAGTTGGTCTCTGTCGTTTCGCTCTTCACGATATTGCGAATCCACGGCAAGAAGTCTTTCACGTTCGAATAGACTCCATACGCACCAGGCCTAGCGCAACCAATTCCCCAGCTTACTATCCCTTTCAATAACCACTTGCCATCGCGCATACAAACCAGCGGTCCTCCACTGTCCCCTTGACAAGCATCGATGCCTCCCTTAGCAAAACCCGCGCAGAACATGCGTGGTGTTATCTTCTTTGCTTGGTAAGCTGCTTGGCATTTTTCTTGAGGTACTAGTGGTACATTGGCTTCTTGGAGTGTGGAGGCCACGTCCCCACCCTGCTCAGTGACACCGAACCCAGTGACGTAGCAGTTTGTTCCAGGTTTGAAGTCGACGCTCTCCTCAGGGAGACAGACAGGCTTCACGATCTTAGACAATTTGACAGGATCTTTTAGTTTAAGCAGCGCAATATCATAGTCTAGAGTTTCTGGGTCGTACTGACCATGTAGAAACAATTTTGACACGTTTGCTGTCACTTCTTTTTGGTCTTTCTTTTCCTGGTCAAACTCTCCCAGCACCACTTCAATATGCGGTGTTTTTCCAGGTGCGGAGTATTTTGACATTTCGTATAAACAGTGGGAAGCAGTCGCCACCCACTGGGGATCAATCAGTGAGCCACCACAGAAGATTTTTTCTGTCGCAGATCGCTTCAGACCTGCCTGCCACGGCCATTGGCCCCTTGTTGCTTCAATGCCTCCAACAATGTGACTTGGCTGTGACTGCCAAGCTGGGGTTGATGTTTTAACTGGATAACCTAGAACAAAAATAAAATTAAAGATATAATGACCTCTTGCTGAACTTATTGGTTATGCCAGTTTAATTTGTGATACAGTCCTCTTTTACTCAGTAATTATTGATTCCAAATCTAACAATAACAATGTACTTACTTCTGAATTTGTCGGCTTAATTTTTAAATGAAGACCAGCTAGTATCCCTTAAAATAAGGAGATCTTACCACTTTCAGTCCTACCCAACAGTTTACCTTTACATGGCGCCTGAACTGGCGGCATTGGTGGCCAAGGAACATGCGGAGGCGTTCCGTTACAGGCTGAATCAGAAAGAATGTTAAGAAGGATAAAATACAAACACAGTCACTTTGATAATAAAATTAAATAGAAAATGAATACAAAAAAAAAAACAAAAAAACAGAGCGAAAAACAAATTCGAACAATACCTCCGAAAATCGTGAGTTTTTCTTGTGTGATGAGGTTTATAGCTTTGTAAGAGCATTGTTGTACTTTACCAGTGCTGTTGGCAATGGTAAGGTTGTTTGGAACAGTACCTTCAAATATGAATGAAATTTTAACATTTTTAATAATCATATTCTGTGAAGACAAGCGACTTTTTTTATATTACAATAAACGATGCAGCGAACGAAATGGTATAGAAAGCGTCATTTTTCGAAAGTTGAAATCTCAAACCGCTGTAGTGTTAAAGAGCTATTGCAGCTTATCTACTGACTGAATTTTAAAATAGGATTCTAAACTATCTGATTTTCAAATCGAATTATGTTTGGAGTACTTGATTTCAGCGTTTTTTATTGCATTCAATTTGAAATCGGGCTATATGCATTGTAATTAAAATAGAAATTACCTGAAGCAATGTGAGGGAAAAGGACCACAAAAGACAGGATCAAGAACGGAAACATTTTCCATCTAAACTCCCAGTACGTCTACTCTTATTTGATATCAAGGGCGTGTCTTACTTCATAAAACGACAAGTCTTCACAGGTTGTTTCCCCGATGCAATTTCAACTCCAAACGTAATGTAGTCATATATTAATTGAAAATAAAAAAAAAATAAAAATAAAACCAACGAAAACTGACCATTTACAGCACGTTAGCGTCATTTGTTGAAATTTATGAGAACTTTATTATACCGGGAAAATATATGCATTCACTTATTGTCATTAAGAATAATATTTTAATGGTGCAAAACGGCAAGACGTCCGCAGCAGAGTGAAAAATCACATAAAAATACTAGGACATGAAAATTTGATTAGGTAATTGACCTCCAATTCGATAGTTAAAAAATCTGGCATTTTTAGCCTAAGCTCCGCGTGGGATACGCACAGTTAGATTTATGTATGAGTGTCATGATTAACTCTAGAAGTGTTTAAATGGTGATATTTAAAGCCATTTTGTTTATATATAGATAATATTGATTTCCTTTTGCACAAGAGGGTATATTGAGGCGCAAGTTCATGTAAGTTGCGATTTAAATTCTGTTCGAAGTTGTAAAAACGATTTCCGGCTGTAGCCTGTTCCAAATCATTCTGCTGAAAGTCCCGTTATTCCGTCTATCCATTTCATGACCGATTTGACGTTTGCATACACTCCATAGCTGCCGGGTACAGCGCACCCTCGTCCCCAGCTCACCAGTCCTTTCAAATACCAGCTGGAGCCATCCTTGCAGACCAGCGGCCCTCCTCCATCTCCCTGACAAGCATCAACACCTCCTTCCTCGAAACCCGCACAGAACATTCTTGGTGTAATCTTGCGATCTTCATAAACCTTCTTACAGGCATCTTTGCTTGCAATCGGCACTTGAACGATCATCAGCTTCGCGAACGAGTTATTTCCGGGTTCCGGTGCTCCGTAGCCGGAAACGAAGCAGACCGTTCCTGATTCAAAGTCCGTATCTTCCTCGGGTAGCTTCACGGGACGGATGTACATCAGTGGACTTTGTTCTACGGGATCGGCTAGCTGCAGCATTGCAAAGTCATAGTCTTGGGTGTGGGGATCGTATAACTTATGAACAAATACTTCAGTTGCGTTAGTTAGCACTCCATCTTTGTTCCGAAGATCTTTCTCGCCGATGATGACCTCAATCACTGGTGTTGGCTTTAGGTTCCTCATATAGTAAACGCAGTGCGCAGCTGTAAGAACCCAGGCGCGGCCGATTAGCACACCGCAACAAAACAGGTTTGGTTCATTAGGTCGTCTGAGTCCTACCTGCCAAGTCCAGCTCTCGGGGGTTCCTTGACTGACGGCCTCCATCAAAGCTGACTCTTGCATGTACAGCAACTGATCTATGCGTCCACCTGAAAAGTTAATGGAGCTCAGTGACGGTACCTTGGCCACGTACAAAATTACCTTCAAATTGAAGGAAACCTGAAAATAGTACTTCACTAAGAAGGGAAAACATCACAGAGATATTAATAAACTATAAAGGAACAAAGATGGTTAAGGATGGAGAAGATTGACACCGATTACAAACGACGAACTTGAAAACTTTAGGCTTAACTTTTCAAGATGCGCAAACCGTGGAGTAGCTCCTTTGATTGAATCGGAAAACAGTTTCGGAACATTTAAATCTTTATGCATGGAGAACCAGAAACATTATTAGATACATGAAAATTTAAAAGGAAAAGTTGTAGATCAAAGGAAATATTTTAGCGTGGTCCTGTAAAAAAAGGATAATAAAGTGGATGATTAGAAACGATGTGGTTTTTATCGTTTCCTAAGAATTACCGGAATTAACTTAAACGTTCAAAATTATTTATCGCTACCACACATGAATAAAGACATTAAAGAGAAAACCTGAAATACTCTTTATCTGTTGGAAACAACTGTAATCAGTGAAATGCGAGCATAATAAGATAACTAGGTTTGGATAAATATCTACCTGATCTTACTGAAGTGATGAATGACCAGAAAACAAGAATAATATAATACATTTTCAGAGAATACGACAGAAACCCCGGTAACATTATTTGTTCATGGCCAAGTGAAAAAACTGCAGGTGATACCTCGAGGTTATTCGCTCGTAGCTGGTGTAAACGACGCCCACGAATCAATTTATTGTGGATTTGACATATTCAGTAAAGGGAAACTCGCGTTCTCTTTAACAGGAATTTCGTTTATTCGCAGAACAGCTGTGGAAAAGAATGGCGTCAAAATGCTTCTGAGATCGTAATACACTTATCTAACAGCGTTGGAGTCTCTCTTGGGTCTTAAATTCCTAATTTCCTGTATCGGCTTTTAGTCATGAAGAATGCAACCTATCAGAAGGCATGTCTTAATATGTTAACTACCCGGAATCAGGAAAAGTAATGACTATCCACATTCTTGTCACAAAGCTGTTTGACCATGTATCGATATTGTAATGAGAATTTAGAAAAACATCATTCTTAGGGTTAAACAAAAGGTTAAATGTCTCAATTTACCCTTTCCAGGCGTTTCAGTCATTTTAATGGCGGGTGGCTTTATTTTTTCTTTTGAAAGTACCACCACGGTCAAGCTCTAATGAATCGTTAATTGATCAAACATGGCGGCTAACTTGTAGACTGAATTTGTAACAGGGACAAAGAAAATTCGCCATCCTTCAGGTAAATACACTTCTTGACATTGTACGATTTAATGGATTTCATCCTTGTTCATAAACCGATGGATTGCCTTAATGACTGTCTACAATTGTGTAAACAACTTGTAAACTAAGCCACAAGCGCATCCGTATTTCTGTGGTAAAATTCAGGTTTCGTTTTAGATTCGGGAAATATGTAAACAGTTTTAATCTATTCTTTTAAAATAGTGATTTTAATAGTATAATATGATTATATGTGTTCCTCGACATTTCTTCCAGTAATTATCGCAAAATTGGAATGGAAGTCTGAAGACATAACTATAATCCGACTAATTGTTTAGACAAATATTGAACCATAACAGGGCAGATC